AGCAAGGCTCGCCGTCGCCGCCTCGCCGGAGCTCTCTCTACTCTAGAGACAGTCGATTCGAGCTCAGAGAGAGAGGGAGAGAATTCCGGGGTGTAAACTTAGCGGGTGCGGAGTGAGAAACTATATCCATTTTCGTACATGCAGGACTGTTAAAACTTGAGGATGGTTTTGACCCAAGCTATAATAATTTTTAATTTGAAATACTTTTAATTATTTTTAATTTTATTTTTCAGATTATTAAAAGTAAATCCGTTTTCTTGGTTTTTCCTGCTCTTAAATTTATTCCCGGGCAATCTAAAATAGAAAATTTACTTAAAATATTTTTTCCATTATACTTTAGTGATAACATTTAATATTTTTAATATAATTGACGGAGTAAGAGGTATAAAGGAGGAAAGTATCATTTTTTGCTAAATAGTTGTAAACTAGCATGCTGGTCAAAGAAATTGATCTGAAATGCGTAGAACCTATTTGATTTGTTTTGGTTACTTATGAATATTCAGTTTGTCCCGAGCTCTAACCTTCCGCCCCCAACGCACTTACCCCGCCCACATGCCCACAAGTCTATCTGCTCTTTACTCCGCCCTTTCTCTAAGGTTTGCTCTTTTCACTTCTTATGTTATATGTTGTGTCACACTCCGTATCCCAAATACTGATACAAACACGCGACTTAGTTGATAATATGTGCACGATAATTGGGTCAAGGAAGTTCTCATGCACACACTTAAGCTTATGACTAGCTGACCTATTGAATTCAAGGGTAAACCAATAAATGCATAGTAGAGGTGGTCACATATTATTGTGGTCAACTAATAACCTATCTACTACCCAATAGGATGAAATAACTCTGAAGCATGACATGGTGGAACTCTAGGCCAAACTACACATAGAGGGGTAAATTTGTAATTAACCACTCATTATTACCTATAGGTAAAATTGTCCATAAGTCACATCATCAAATACATAGCTAATATCCTGCAACGTAGAGGAATGAGGGAGAAATAAGTGTAGTGGTCGTCAGCCAAACAACCCACGACAAGCATTAAGGGAGAAAAGAAACAAACAGATAAGGACAATGTATATCCTAGATGATACGCTCACACAGGTGAAAACTAAGAACTAATGATATGGAGCAGATCAAGCATTGGAAAGATTTGCATTTGTCCAAGATAGTGAAAACCACATAAAATAGCTACAGAAACCAAAATAACATGAAACCGAAGGCAAACCCAAAAAACCACAAAACCCACAGATCCTAGTGGCCATCACTAACTGAAACTACTCATGCAAAATATCTCATCAGAACCTTGACTGAATAGATTTCATATCGGATACCACTTTCTCGATCTAGTCTATACTCTACATTACTATCACGCCCCGTTTCCCAAAATACCGGGGAATCGGAACGTGAACAAGTCCGCGACGTATTAGATTGAGAAGAAACATTATCATCATTTTTTTTTCTTTTTTTTTTCTTCTCAATCCAATACGCTAAGCGTCAAATACATAAATCTCAATCACAGGTCCCCGATCACAATCCAATACGCTAAGCGTCAAATACATAAATCTCAATCACAGGTCCCCGATCACAATAGCAAGAATAGAAAGACGCGTCAAATACATAAATCTCAATCACAGGTCCCCGATCACAATAGCAAGAATAGAAAGACAATCCAGAAAAAGAAATAACATATCATCCATGATAAATCATCCCAGACATAACGTATGGGTCAAACATACCCTTATTACAAAACAGGTCCAGATAGAAATAAAAATACATAGTCCATAATAAAAGAAAGTATTGTCAAAAATAAGAAAATCTGACATTAACTAAAGAATAAAAAGATAACAAGTTCTAATGTTCATCAGCTACTACAGAAAAGAAAACACGTCTAGGCTTCGGTTTGTTCTTCCACTCCGTCGGAAGGATAATCCGGATCGGCATACACTGGCTCTGCTTCAACGTCAAGCTGGACCTGTCTGTCTCCTAAGTCTGACGCACACCAGAGAAAACAGGTGTACGTCAGTGTGCATGGTACATGACAAGATCTCACATGTACAGATAAAATGGTCTAACGACCCATGCTATGACAATAATAATGATGGGACATGATTATGTAATTCTAGCAATTTAAGTGAACATTTGCTACTATCATGATGAACAGAAGTACTTAAGCCAACTGGTAATCTAATTCGACTAATCCATCCTATAACAAGTCGCTGGTCAATTCTCACACAAAGTCATCACTCATATCACCGAATATCTGACTGTTCACATATCCCCTACGTGTACCCAATACGCCGCTACACTAGATTGGTCAGAGGGCTACACGTAATCCGATTTCAACCTGGTTCGAACTCAAGTTAAACCCGAGTGAATATCCAATTCACGGACCAAAGTGACTACACTGGCTTCACTTGGACCCAACAAACTAACCCAAAGCTACACTGGATCATGGGGCGAGTCTGGAAGATACATCAACGGCTATATCCGATCACATGAACAAGGACCTCCCCATCCCAACTCTCTGGTATTCTCTAATTCTAAAATCATGATCCTTATTAAACTCGGGTTCACCACCAAAACTCAGTCAACACTCACACGTGTCACTAGGTTTGTTCATGACGCACAAGGTCACTAAGTCATGAACTACTAAGGTTCTTAACACATCAACAGATCATGAGTATAGAATAGTATATTAAACATGATTAAATAGGTTTATGAAGCAGAAATGAGAACTATAATGAACATGAAATATATAAACAAATACTATAGCATGAATACATACATAAGGGACTTCATCATTACTAGAATATCCAAACTTCTCATACCAGTTATCTGTACTTAAGTATTCTCTAATATAATAATACAGAAAAAGAAAACTAGAAACCGATGTTGTTTTGTACATGAAATGTCGCACTCTACGACGATCAGTCATACTATCCTAAATAATAATATTCTTTTTCCAAAAATTATTCTTCAAAACTATTTCTCATTATGACTAATTTAGAATAAAAAAAGATTTATATAAGATAACATAAAAATTCCTTTTTGCATAAAAAGTAATATTTTTCTATTTTATAAACTTTTCCTTAATTAATTTCTTTTCGATAAAATTCCATAAATTCTAATTTAGCACATAACTTGTCGTTTCATGTCCGAAATTCTTAAAAATATAATTAACAACATTATTAATCTAATTTTCACGGTGTGCTTACAATCTTCATTCCACGAAGATATTCAAAATACGCATTAATCACAATAATAATTTAACTATATGTAATCATCATACTAACAATAACATTACCACAAAATAATTTATCTATATCCAATCATCAAAGTATCACGATATTAGCCATTAATTAAAAATAAGGTAAATGCGAGATCTTGCCTCGGTGTATTCGTCGAACGTATCAGCGTCGCCGTGCGAGGCTACGGTGGTTCGACGGATCTGAAAGCTGAGGTGGCACTGGTCACTACTGCGATTTGGCGATGCACTTGGTGAAGAGCGCTGCTGAAAGTTCGTCGAGGCGTCGAGGCATGGCAACGAGGAGGAGGTGGACTGTCGGAGGGCAGCGACGGCGGCGTGAGTTGAAGTGGCTGAGGACGACAGATCGGTGATGAGGGTTTCGAGGTGGCGGCGAAGGAGGCGGGGCAGGGTGGTTGCTGGTCTGAGGAAGAGGCAAGGGACGTCATGGGGCTGTTGGTGTGGCTGAGGGGAGGACGAGGGCTGGAGGATCTCTGGCGTGGGGTGGGTGTTGTCCGGGTACGGTTGAGAGCGGCAGCCGGGGAGCTTGGTGGGGAGCGACGGTGTGAGCGAAGAAGGGAGGCGCAGTGCGGGTTGGATGGTGATGGGGTACTGGGGTTCGTGGGGTTTGAGGGAGTTGAGCAGGGCTCAGCTTGGCGGAGGGAGAGCGGCTGAGGGGGTCGGCGTCGGAGGTGACTGGTGATGAGGGGAAGTTGGTTGAGTTGTGGGAATGGAGATGAGAGAGAAGAGGAGGGTACGGTGATGGCTGTGATGGAAATAAGAGGACAGAGAGAGGATTGGAGAGAGAGAGAAGATTTGCACGTGATTTTGGGGAGTGATTAGAGGAGATGGGGATTTGGCGGTTTAGAAATTTAATGGAGAGGAAAAATAAAGAGAATGAGATGATGGGAGAGAGAGACAGAATGCTGGAATTGAGGAAAAATTATTAAAGAGAGAGAAAAGAGTAAGAGAGAGTACGGTGGGATTTGAAAAGAGATTTGGAGAGAGAGAGAGAGAGAGAGAGAGAGAGGGGATTTGATTAGGGAATTGATTAGCGAATTAATTAGGGGAAAAATATGGAAGGAATTCAAAATGAGAGAAAATTTAGGGGAAAGAAGATTAAGGGAAAATTTTATTTATTTATTTATTTATTTATTTTGAAAACTCAAAAAATTCCAGAATTTAGGAAAAATATTAATAAAATATAATATAATATTTTAAATACTAGAAAATTTGTTTAAATACGTATCGAAAAAAATTACGGTTGTTACATCCTACCCTCCTTAAAATAAATTCCGTCCTCAGAATTAAAGTATCTAGGATGAAATATAAAGGTAGATTCGGTTCAACTCATATAAGATTCAAGATATATTACATATCCATAAATAAGAAAAGTCATACAAGGTGATTTAAAATAAGATACAGGACATGACAGCTAAGATTCATGAAATAAATGAGGGTATCGCTGTCGCATCTCAGACTCAGTTTCCCAAGTCGACTCTCCAGGAGAATCTGGGTGCCACATCACACGAACAAGCGAGACGGTCTTGTTTCGGAGGGTCTTCTCCCTTCGGTCAAGAATCGTCACTGACTGCTTCTCGTATGTCAAATCAGATCACACCTCAATCTCTGAGAAATCTACGACATGACTCGGATATCCGACGTATTTTCG